AAATTGTCATATGCATTCATTTTTTTCCCCCTTGTTTACCTGTTGATTAATTTATTTGATTTTTGTTTGCAGGTGGGATGTGTTACACTTAGACACTGAATACTTTGTCTTTGAGGGAGTTTAAATTTGCATTTTGATTTGATTCTTTTTTTGCAATTGTATGTATGTACAGTATCTCATATTGTCATATGTATTCGGTTGTAAGTGTGTGTGTTAGTTTTGTTTTTCCCCTTGTTCACTGGCTTGTTGGTTGATTGGTGTGAGTATTGTTTGAAGGTGTGATGAGCTTGACTATTTCTTGAGTTGTCCAAGTGTCTTAATTAACCTGATGAAGAGCATGTAGGTCGAAGGTAGGTCGAAACATTGTTACATTAAAAAACGTCTATGAGCTAAAGTGGCAGTGTGCTGATTATCTTTTAATTTTTTGCCACTATTTTTTTTTTTTTTTGAGAATCCCAGATGTGCTCACATTTCTGTTTTTTGGTAGCCTAAACCTCATCCACACCCATGCTTCCCTCTGGGAATGCAACAGTCTGGGTGGTAAGCTTCCTTGGGGCTTCTCTACATTGTAACTATCCTTGAAGATGGAAAGACAGTGAAGGTGGATTTATCAGAGAACAAAACATGTTTAAGGCTCAACTCTCTTCGATTTCTTTTGGATAAAATATGCATCATGCTGCTTTAGTTTTCGACCCCAACCCCCCTTCATTTCCTAATCATCCACCACTCGGCAGGAGCCCCAGCATGTCAAATCTGCAAATTAAATATCCAATAACTAAGTGTGAACTCTTGAAATTGTTCACAGCCCAATATTTTAACTGCTGGCCCCATTGAAACTGACATTAGGCATTTGCACAAGTGACCAAAGGTTTGACGATAACAGTCCAGCCATGTACAGTTAAAGTCAGAATTATTAGCCCCCCCCCCCTGAATTATTACCCCCTTGTTTATTTATTTATTTTTACCCAATTTCTGTTTAACGGAGAGATTTTTTTTTAAAACACATTTCTCAGCATAATAATTTTATTAACTCGTTTTTAATAACTATTTTATTTTATCTTTGCCATAATGACAGTCAATAATATTTTACTAGATAATTTTTAAGATACTTGTGCAGCATTAAGTGACATTTAAAGGCTTATCTAGGTTAATTAGTTTAACTAGGCAGGTTAGGGTAATTAGGCAGGTTATTGTATAATGATGGTTTGTTCTGTAGACTATCAAAAAATTGCTAAAAGGGGCTAATAATTTTGACCTTAAAATGTTTTTTTTTTAAATTAAAAACTGCTTTTATTCTAGACAAAATAAAACAAATAAGACTTTCTCCAGAAGAAAAAATATTATCAGACATACTTTGAAAATGTCCTTGCTCTGTTAAACATCATTTAAAAAAATATTTAAAAAAGAAAAAAATTCAAAGGGTGGCTAATAATTCTGATTTCATCTGTATATGTGACCCTGTGGAGCTCCCGACAAACATTTCTGCACTTGTCTGCAGAAAGCTGAGCAGCTGTAGTTTTATGTTTTTTGGAAATAATCTGGGTTAGCACTTAGACATCTCTTTCATACAGCTTTTGCTGCGGTCACACTCGAGTTTTAGCATGCAAAATTCTGCAGTACGGATGCTGCAATTAGGGATAGGATTAAACAAGATGATTAGACATTTTAAAAAAGTGAGTGATTGGTCTAGTTTAAAATTTCTGTCCAGAGAGGTCATGTTTTGATCCTCGATTGGTCTTATGCAATTTCGCAGGTCAGAGTTCACCAAGCTTTACCTTTGCACCGCAGCGACCTGTAAAACTTGACACATGACCCTGCGTTTCTGGTCTGACACATTTGCATGCGTATGAATGGAAGTCTATGTGGAGAAAAGTCTAGTGTAACCGCAGCTTTTTTCTTGGGTCCACAGTTACTCCTGTTGGATGTAGTGCATCCTTCTTGGTGGTGAGCTGACATAAGCATGAATACTGTGGCTCCTGTCTTGATACATCACAAAGACTTTCTATCTTGCTCACAGATGTGCCAGTGAGATGCACACCAATAATTTTTTCGAACTCTCATATGTTGTGTGTCGCAATATTTTAAGCAAAACTGTGACAGTACTCTGCTAATTATACCTTCACACTCTACTCTTATGCTGCGGTCACACTAGAGTTTGGCCATGCAAAATGCTGTTGTACGGCTCTGTGAAAAGGGACTGGATTAAACAAGATGATTAGACATTTTAAAAAGTAAGCAATTGGTCCATATTTTAAATTTCTGCCCAGAGAGGTCATGTTTTGATCTTCGATTGGTCTCACACAGACACGTGATGCATGTCTTGTCGCACAAGCTTGCGTTTCCTTTCTGACGCATTCACCTGGGTATGAATGGAAGTCTATGGAAAGAAAAGTCCAGTGTGACTGCAGCTGTACTGGAACAATGTGAAATCAAAGAAGATTGCCCACCAGGCTGTTCTAATCACCAACACTGGCCAGTGTTCCAATTTCATTGTCCAACTCCTGTACTAATCATCGTTTGAAGTGGATCATCACTTTTCATCAAATTCAATGCCTATTTTTTTCTTAGGACTTTCACGATCCACATTAAATGTTGACTATATATGATAGATATGTAATGCTATTCATGACCAAAATTACCAAAACAATAAAAGACACATTTTTGCTTGCAAATGCACATTTTTATATAAAGTAGATAGAAGAATTGACCAAAGTCATTGCACAAAATCACATTCATACACACCCATATACTGTAACAGATTGCTTCTTTAAATATATTATAGTTACATCTCAGTTTCATTTTGATCAACAAAGTTCACACAACGTGAAACAAAGGAAAAGAGAAAATCCTATATCAGTCTCTTGTTGCTATACAATTGTTTTTTTTGTTTTTGTTTTTTTACTCTTGTTGAAGAATATTACATCAACCACAAAAATTGTATGAAACATAAGAACACAATTTAGCCTCTTTCATTATCTAGGACATAAACAGAGTAGCTGTAATTGATGGTCCTCCTCCACACTTAAGTTCCAGTATCACATTCGACCAATGGAGCCATTTTGTGTAGTAGCATCAATGCATGTACAGTCTTTTTGCCCTTATGTACAAAACGTCACTACATTCAGCGAACCAATGAGAAAGGTCTTGTTATGAGTAAAGTGTGAGCTCTGCATTAATAGCACCATCAGTGTTTTATCAGAATGAGGCCAGACACAAAATGGGGCCAAATGTAAATGCACTGCGATCATTAATAAAGATCAAAAGTATGTAAATAGTCTTGTGTGTAAAGAAACAGAAAAACAAGCTATTTATTTAAGTGTGAAAGCACAAAATAAATGTGAAAACTGTTATCTGTTTTGTCTGTCATTGATCCTTAAAACGTCAAATGTGCATATTGACAAATGTAGTGCAATCAGGTCACAAATGGCCTGCCATCTGAGTAGATTTGATCAGGTTTTGTGTGCTACGGATCATTTTAGTATCGCGCATGTCTTAAGTCTATTATCAATTGCATATTGAAAAGCTGCAGTAATTTTATAGAGGAAAACCTATTCAAGTGCCTCTTTACAAATGTTAATATTACACCTGTGAACTGCTTTAAAGTCTTTCTCTTTCAACAATTTTGATCATCTTTAACATTAAACTGAGCTATTTCTTAAGACACATACTGAAGCTTAAATAGTGACTGGAAAATGCTATGAGAACTGCTGATAAAAATGTATCTCTCATTCACAGGAGGGACCTCATTATCAAGATGATTGCTGATTATAGGGTTGGGCGATGTTGAACATTGCGATGGACGATGGCATCGTCGTCATGGACTGCGGTGAATTAATTGTTTATAAATAATTATTTTATTCATAACAACTTATTTATTTGTAGCCTACCCTTTCAACTACCTGACCGGCATGGTCTTTGTTTTACCCATAAACAAATCATAAATAAATAAAGAAAAGTTACACACAAATAACCACCTGTCAGTCACTTTTTCTGCAGGACTCTGGCATAAATAGGCAAAGTGATCTGTGTCATTATAATGGCATTGATAAACCTGGTTGGTAAAAAAGGTGCTCATCCAACAGTATCTGAGGTTTTCGCTGAAACTACTAAGTACAAGCGTGAAAGCGAACGATTAAAGCTGTGTACTGACGCTGTGACACGTTACCTGATAGATTCAAAAGACCGAAGACGAGATTAATTAAACAACACGTTTAACACCTATAGTGAGACGCGATCCAGCGGTACATCTTTGATAAACTGTCAAGCACTGCTCTCTGAGGTTTTTTGCTCAAAACACCCACTGACTGCCTGGAGCTCAGACGAGCGCATGACAGTGTCTATGTGTGTGTATGTGATGTGCATTTTTTAGCGGTATAGTGTGGACAGAGGACTGTTCAGAAGTACTAGAAGAAACGCCAGTGTAAATCTTTTTTTTTTCTAAAATGCCATTTTAAAACTAAGACGTATTAGTGTAAACAGGGCCTAAGTGGGAATTTTTCGTGAGTGGGGTTGCGACGGGGGTGGGCGGAGGACCGCAATGCTGCCTCAGCATCGTTATGTCTATCGACCATAGGCAATGGACCATGGCATCGTCTATCAACCCAACCCTAGCTGATTATATCACTTCAAAACATCTTGTCAGTAACTGTTAACACTAGTCTGCATTCTGCAATCAAAGCTAATAAAGCTTGTTGGCCAAAATCCACATGTTGGATTTTTTTAAGTGCTTCATTTAAACATACTACTTAAAACAATAAAATAACCCATCTTTATGGTTCATTTTGCACATAACCCTTTCCACTATTTACTTTTTAAGTATGTCTTGTGTCTGATACATATGAATAATTATGAAAATAGTATTCTGGGCTTTTAATGGACTGGAATAATTGACAGTTTTCTAATAATATAAACATTTTTATCAAAATATCTATGACATTTAATGCTTCCAGCTCAAGTCTTTCCGCAATTTTTGTTTGCGCCTTCAGAAAAAACTCCTTTCCAATGTGAAGGCTACAAAAGCTTGCTGTACTATTGGCTGACTTTGATAACTTTTATGGCACATTATTTTTGGACCACGGTCCAAAAGAATATCATACAAAAAAATGTGTGACCAAAATAATAAACAAAGATCTTTTAAAAAGTGTGGTCGGTCGAAGAAGCATGCAATAACACCCGTATAAGAACGTACAGTACTTGCTGTTGAAAATACATAAAATACCAACCTCTCGATTAGTTTGTTCCCCTTTGAAGATTTCAGTTCTTATCATGATGACAATAGGTAGCGCGACATGGAAAACAGCTGAATGATTCTGTTCCGCAGGAAGCGTGTGGTCGGTTCTTCATCACAAATTGTTGTAAATCGTTTTAGCTTGATACAGAACATCATTAACAACAAGTGGTGTACATCAGGACTGACCACCTCCAACCTGCAGCAGTTTAAGACTGAGACCTTCTTGAAGGCCACTACGATATGAAAAACATGTCAATAACGTGACGCCATGCAAGAGCAGCAGTTCATGGTCCTTATATTTCATCAATAACTCACTGTGTAGGGTTTGTAGTAATTGCAGAAGGTCAAACTAGAGTCTTTGGCTTTTATCGATTTTAGGTGTTGCTAACTTGGCTCTCCTTTTCAAATTACTCAGTCCATCATGAGCATGGCAAGCTGAAGGAATGCAGCACAATCTTCGGTTCTGTCTTTATTGCGAGCCAAAAAGCGAGTTTTATTGTGAGACTGCTGCTCATGTTTGTGTATGGATGGAATCACTTGAAAAGGTCAATATGCTGCATGGTTGGTCAGTATATCCTGTAGGTGACCTGGAAAACACAGCACAACTAGTCAAAAAATACCTTGTTGGCTGACAAGGTGCTGTCCTGCATCTTAAGGGTTTCAAATGGCCAATCCAGTTGCATTCATTGCTACAGATAAGCTTCAAAATCTATGCTCTGAAACTTGTTCATACTAATAATGATGCTGAAGTTTATTGTTTTGTTTTTTAATGCACAGTTATTTTGTCTATGCACAAGCGGCCATCTTATCGATCCAAGCCAATACACAGCTGGCTTATTGTTATTTCTCGTTCATTTTTCAGGTCGGCGAAAACCTGTGTAAAGTAGTGCGGGTCAGAATTAAGCTGGAGCATTTTGCCACTCATGCGGTTGATGATGTCCAGGCTGCGGTTCCAGAAGACGTCCTTGTCCATCTCCACCAGGAAGGGCTTGAGCGGGTAGGAAATCTCATTTCCCATGTAGGAGTAGGACAGGTAGAGGCAAGTGAGCACCTCGGCCTGCAGCTCACGCTCGCTGGACACCTCTGGCGAAATGACCTCACGGCACAGCATATAGAGGAAGACCAAGTTTGCCGGGGTGATGAAGCCCTGGTCCTGCCAGCCCTGCAGCAGAAGAGACCGATCCACCTGACGAAGCCAGACAATAGGCTCGGCAGGTGAGAATCGCTTCAGCCGGTAGCAGCGTCGCGACAAGAAGTCGCCCAGATTTCTAAGTAGCTCGCAGGTGGAAGCCTGCACGATCACTCTTTTGGGTGTGCCAGCATTGGTTGCTTGGGCCACCAATTCAGTGATGGGGGTCCTCTTTGCGGTGGAGGTCACATTGGTGGTTGTTTTTGATGTAGGAATGGAGCTTACAGCCGGCTCCTGGGTGAAGCCCGAGAGATTGGCACAAGACTGAGACTTCTTCAGGTTTTGGCTGTTGAGAGTGCCCACGCACTCTTCATCTTGACTGTCACCCGAGGGCAACTTCTTAGAGCCTTTTCTCTTGGCCGAAGCCGCCACAATGCGCTTCCATGGGAGGACATTGATGAGCGACTGGCGTTTCAGACCCTTGTCCTTGGCATTTTTACTGTTCTGCACAGCTGTATAATGTGCCAGAGGGGGTGGTATTTCATCAAACAGGCCTGCCTTTCGGTAGCTTGGGGAGACTGAGAGTACAGTTCCCATGTTGCCTTTATTATTACAGGGTCTTTTGATACGAAATCTGCCAAAAGAGAAATAAATATATTTGTTTAGTGATACAATATATATTCTTTATATAGCTATAGTGATTTATGACTGAAGCATCATCACCATTTTAACTGAACAAACCCACACGTGCTTATCATATGTTCATTTCTATATATAGTTAAGAACTCCTATGGAAAACCTAATTTTGTCACACGAACAGAAATAGATTTGCCTGTTTTATCGAACTGAACCGCTGGTAGGCTATGTGATTCACCAGGTCCGGCAGAATATGCGAAAGCATCCATTTTAGCTTCAAAATGGAAGGCGAGAATGTAAACACATTCATGTCTATTTGTAAGAAAAATCCTTCTCAGTGCGTAATAAAAATGGTTTGCTGGCCTAAATATCGCTAATTGTAAGCTTTAACTTGATTATAAAACATAATATATCGAGCTATTCGAAATATTTAGTGGGTCAACACGAGGAAACTCGAGCTTCACGCGTCAGACAAAATAAGCTGTCGTAAATCAAGATAGCATCTTTTCACTGACGGCTCGAGTAGACAGTGGCCTCAACTGAGGTTTCGCATTTTGTAAACTGTTTAAGAACGAACACAAATTATACATAAAGTAAAGACAATTTATTTTAAAACAGCATATTTGGCTATTACGCATAAAATGTTAGTCACTTACCAATCAATGTGTCTTCCTCTTGGTGATAAACGTAGATACGGAACAAGAAGAATTAGAAAATGTATAAATGTCCGTCGATTATGCCGTTTTTCTCGGCGTGTCGCACAGAGAAACGTGCTCGTCGTTGTCCAGGGTGCTGAAAATGGGACGTCAGCGATGAAATAATGCTTCTACGTAAAGCGAGAATGCGGGGCGTTCAGGATTCTCCCAGATGCACGCCACGTCTTCCCACACAAAACCCACGATACATGGCAATTCTGTTGTTTCATCACAATAAATCTGGGGTCTGATTCACATCTGCCCGTCTCTGATGTTCCCGTTGAACTGCGCAGGCGGGTGAATGACACACTAGGCTTGAAAGGTCCGTGCCAGACTAATCCTTAAGTAAAGTCGATGAATTGCTTTCATTGACCGCTATTTTTCGAGAGAGAGAGAGAGAGAGAGAGAGAGAGAGAGAGAGAGAGAGAGAGAGAGAGAGAGAGAGAGAGAGAGAGAGAGAGAGAGAGATGCTCGCTCATGGTGATGCTGAAGCTCAGATGGGTGGGAACAGGCAGTGCCTGAGCTTGCTCTGCTTAGGCTTTCCGTCCATGTGTCCGTCATGTGCGCGCTTAATGACTCTCCACAGCACCGGCGATCTTGATCACAATGACGTTTAACTTCAGGCGCCCTTTCTTTATAACCAGCCAGCCGATGGCAGATTATGATCTTTAATCAAGAACCAGAGGGTGTGGGAAGTGTCAAACACAACACTTGAGATGGATTAATTAAAATCCTGATGTGCACTGAAGTGCTCTCAGTGACGCAGTGACATGAATGGGCGACCCCATCCCCCTTTTGACACCCACCCACACATTCTAGATCTCTCATGCTCATCAAGTCATCAGACTTTTTAATTGTATAAAAGCAAGATTTTTCTTTAAGAGACCAATCAGAGCACCCTTATGTGAATATCTTTTGTTACACCCTCAAATTATTAATTAATCAAATGAAGATCACAAAGGATCATTGTTCATAGTTTCATCAAGACCTTTTAACATCTTTGGAAACTCTTCTATTCCTCAAAATGTTTTAGAATATGAAAAAAGGGTTGATTATTTGATTGTTCTTCACATTTGTCATTATATCTGTCATATTTGTTTGTTTATCAATCATGCATCAATCCCTTCACTCCCTCATTAGGTAATGGTGATAGATGATCGGAAAAGGAAAATAAATTTCCACAATAACTCATTTACAGAGTTTAAGACAGTTTGCAGGCATTGTCAAATGCAAACTTCATTTAATTATTATTTTTTATAGCCCAGTTGGCTTTGGCAGATTTTTCAAAGTAGCCTGAACATTCACAACTGTCACAACAATCACAACTGCTAGAATATCACAGCCCTATATACTGTTAAAATGATAGGTTTCAAAAGAGGGCTTGCAGTAATGTCATAGAAGAAAAAATGCTGGTTTAAAACATTTGAATAAACAGCAGGGTATATCACAATATATCATTTCAGCATCGATATCGCAATGTGTGCATGCACAAAAATAACAATTAAGGATTTGCAATCTTGAGTCTGGATTATAATTGATCAGGTGCCACAAAACTCAAGATTTTTTAGAGTCACTAAGATTAACCATAATAAAGTAAAGGTTTATCTATACATGTGTTTTTGAGGCCTGTGACGGAGCATTTTAAGATGGTTTGAAGTCTTGGGCACAAGAAACTACGACTTTTAGCAGCGTAAAAAAAGATTAATTGCATTTAATTATTTATACAATGAAGACAATACAGTGTTAATTTACATTTACAAAAAAAGTGTTTATTTAAAAAAATTTTTTTGATTGTTTTATGTCCAAATATCTGCATTTCAAACCTAAAACAAGATTATTTTGCTTAACTCACTGGGAGATTATTTATCTTGCTTTAAGGAAAATCTCGCTTAATTTTTACTTATTATGTCTGAAAGTGAAATTTTTTTTAAAAGTATATTTGGTCTAGAAACAAGGCAACCCTAAGTATTTTGCATTGTGATTACTGATATTAATTTATGTACCTTAATACTCGTTAGACTCCTTAGAAAAAGTCAAAAAGAGAATTCAAACCATTTTGTGAAACTGTATTCATAACCACAATATTTATTGGAAAAAAAAAATATTGCAATGTCAGATCATGCAGCCCTAATGTGAAGAGCATTATAATGATCTATAAAATATTTAGAATGGGAAGGTAGTATGGATTTCATGGTTCTACATGGAAACACAATTGCAGGAAAAAAAAAATTATTAAGAGTGTATTGCATGTCAGTAAAATGTCACAAGATACATTTAATTCATTCTTCAAGTTCAAAACAGTTCTTGTGTCGGACATTTGGCAGATACCTCCTAAATAAAGTGTTTTTAAGCATTTGGTTATAATTAAAGGTTTTTTCATGATTGCAAACATCGGTTAAAATATTTTTTAGACATATTTTATGTTTTTTCTACTTTTTTTTACGCTGACTTACTATACAAGAATGTCAGTTTTGGTGAATGCTCTTGTGTAACATTTAATGTTTTGCTAACTATTTAGTAATACAATTTTACTAGGAAAATGTAATATTGTAATTCACAGAACATTTGTATTTATACAGTGCAAATTTTTTTTTTTGATATTTGTTAAATAACTGAGCATTCACAATGGTGTGCCCATGCATGTAAATTGATGATACACTTGCAGAAAAGATAGTAAAGCTAATTATTTGCAGTCCTTCAAAGTGTTTAATGGTTGACTGTTACACTTGATCAATTTCTAAATGTGCCAAATTTGGTTGTAAAATAAACATTTAATTTGAGTTTGTATTCATGTTTTTGATTGTTTGTTTGTTTGTTTGTTTGTTTGCTTAATAAACAATAACAAAAATGTTCTAGTTTTAAACAAATTAATAATTAAATAATTTTTACAATTTTTTAAAAATATTTACATTACCGGTCAAACATTTAGGGTCAGTTTTTTTCATGGCCGCATACATTAAATGTAAAAAATAATAAATTGTTCAATATTTGTTAAAATTAATTCTTGCATGTAGTTTCAAGTGAAATTATTACTCCAGTCATTATTGCTTTTATTACTCTTACCATTGATAATAATATTAATAATAATAATAATAATAATAATAATAATAATTAAAATATGATCATGTGACTCTGAAGACTAGAATAATGAAACTGACAATTCATCTTTAAAATCACTGGAATAAATTATTAAGTTATAAAGTACTTTTGAACAGTTATTTTAAAGTGCAATAACATTTCATAATTTTACAATTTGTACAGTATTTTGATTAAATAAATGCTGCCTTGATGAGCAGGAGAAGCTTATTTTAAAGCATTTAAAAATCCTACTGACCCCAAACTTTTGACCGGTAGTGTATGTTTACTCTAAACCACACATGGTCTTGCAGTGTAATTACACAGAAAAGTTTTGAAAAATAAAATTAACAAAATGAACACAACTGTGAATATTCTGACAATATGAAAAACATTTGATCAACAATCCATGTGCACAAATCTATCAAAACGCAAGTTTGCTTTAAAAGTAATTAAAGCCTGGTGTGAAAAAAATAGATAATAACTTTCTGTTTAGATAAAAAAACAACAACTGAAAGTTGAAAAAAAAAGATTGAAAACTGAAGAAATAAACTCCTGGAATTAGTCATATTTCCCTGTGTGTTTTCCCTCTGTTTTGCGAACTCAATCTCCCAGCGTGCCTCGGTACCACATCCGGTAGCGTGTTTAATGATGATTGTTATGTGAATCAGGCAATTGGTGAATTGGTAAGATGGCGGCTACGGCGGTAGAGTTTCAGAGAGCACAGTCGCTGCTCAGTACGGATCGGAACGCGTCCATTGACATTTTACACGCTATCGGTAAGGTTCTCCTCTCCCGCTGGCCATTGCAGCGCTTGTGTGGATTTAGCTGAAGGAGCTGTGCTCTCAATACACGGATCATGTGGTTTTATAGAGCAGCAGCTAAATGTGTTAGCCGGTCTCATGCTGCTGACTCACTGTGACAGGCGTTAGAAAGCCTTTAGCTAGAGAAATATACTGAGCCCTTACTATCTGTTAACTTAACGGACAGACCTCTGCGCTGTATTGAACATTGTCCGCTGTTGTAGTTTTGTGAATTTTATTTTTTGGCAGAAGAAAAATCAATGTTCAGTGAACTGGTACCTGCTAGCCAGTCAGCTAGTCTCAGTTCTCAATGGAAGCGTTTCTCTCAGTGAAGGGGTCTGTTTGTGTTTGGGAAACATAGACATATAAAAGTTTGTATGTTTTCTATGTGATTTCGTTATGTATAGTTTACAAATGACTGACGTTGCCGAAATATAATTTGAAGGTATTGCTTGAAGTTTGCATGACAGCTGAAATTAGCTTCGCTTGCTAATGTTAGCCATATTTTCATTTCTGTTCATAATATTTAGGTAGCTTTTGGGTAATGGAATGAAATGTAATTTTAAGTACATCGTAACTGATCTGAGTCATTTAACCGTCATTGGCAGGTTATTTATAATTATGGTGTCAAAGGTATTTTTTCTCATCGTTCGGTGTTGCTATAACATCACAGTATCAGGAAGTTTTGTTTGACATGAAGTTTGATATGTGTGCGTCTGTCACGGATAATTTGATAGCATGCCACGCTGGTTTAGATTATAATTGAACTTTATTTAAAGTTTTTAACTTCCATTAAGCCATCTAATATAACAACACTTTTAAGTGTAATAAATGTACACTAATAAACACTATTAAATAGATCAATTTAACAGCATCTTTACTCCCACGTGACATCGTGCTTTATTAATCACTTTATTATACTGATTTGTGTAAACAACATAGTTGTGTTCCATTTGAGAATGGTAAGAAGCAGTATTTATCTTGAATGGAAAGTGTTGGTAACATTACAAATGTCTTTAAATAATTAAAACATCTGAAGAAAGCTCTTTGCCTTTGTGTGTGAGAGTGAGTGTATTAGGCATGGATTTTTAAAAAAATTTGATGGTATGTTAAACTTGGATAAAAATACCACAGTTTTACAGTATCATGCTATTGTGATTACTGCTATAAATAGAGTTTTTTTTAAATATATATTTGGGTAAAACAAACAAAAAAACATTTCTTTAGAACACACACACACACACACACACACACACACACACACAAAAATACACCAAAAACCTTATATACCTTGGGATAACAGAACATTTTAGTGATATTCAAACCTTGACTTTTGTAAACTTTGAAACCTGTTATCATTCCGTGCCTAGAGTGTATAAGGGTTTAAGTAAAATTACTCCATTTTAAAATGCACTTAAAGCAAGTTGTGGAATCTGCATTTGTGTAACCTCTATTTAAATCCAAGCTATTACCAGTGCTCTAGCTGTGAATCATGATTAATCAAAGATTAACTTGTCTATGTCTAAGCAGCATAGATTAAATAGCCTAGTCTTGTTAGGCTGTACACAATAAAATGATCTATTTCTGGCCACATTCACTGTTAAAAGAGAAACGATTAAAAAGTAAATTTTTTTTACACTGTGCTTTACTTTGATTTACAGATTTAATAAATTTTTTCTGAGTAGGATTAACAATAATTTTTAAGCCTAATTTTATCATTTAAAATAGTTAAAATTTGCATAAAGTACATCAAATCCATATGTGAAATTGTTCTATAATATCTACATATTCTTGTTAGGCTGCAAACAATAATAATATCAATTTCTGTCCACATTTACAGTCAAAAGAGACGTCCAAGATGATGACGAAGAGGCTGTGCGTGTCAAAGAACAGAGTATTTTGGAGCTGGGCGGACTGTTGGCCAAGACCGGACAAGCTGCTGGTAAACATCTATGTTAGGGCTGCATGATATCGGAAAAATCCAGTATTGCGATATTTAAATTTTCTGCAGTAAATATTGCAATTTGGAATACAGTTTTATGATAGCACAATTGGTTTTAAATAGCACAATTTAAAGGTTTTCTATAGAGTCAACCGTATTCAGGTACAGAAATTGAAAAACCACAATGCAAAAAGATGCATTTTCTTACTTTGCTTTGTCTCGTTTCTAGTCTAAATATAAAAAAAATAAGTAAATCTTGGATCAAGTAAAAATATTGTTTTGTGTTCTTTAAACCTTTTTTTTCCTTTAAACAAGGTCAGTGGGGCAACTGAAATAATCTTGCAGATATTTGGATGAGAAACGAGACAGTTTTTAAGTTTCTAAGAGATAAAAAAAAATTAGTTAATTAGTTAATACATTAATACAATTCTGTAGCTCCTGCTATAATTCAGACTCAACATAGCATATCTGCTATTGCATATATATATATATATGATTTGACTATTGTGTATGCACACATTGCTATATTGATGCTGAAATCATAAATTGTGCAGCCCTAATTTAAATTATTGTCAATAATCATTTTAGGTGGATCCTAAAGGTCACTACTCTGATGACTTTTAGATTTTTTTCCCATTGTTTTGATGCTGACATGGCATTATATTAAAACATATAATACAATCACTGCTCATCTGACAATTTCTCATGAATATGAGTCATTTATCATATATCATTTGCTATCTATTCTCTGCAGAACTGGGAGGACTGCTGAAGTATGTCCGGCCGTTCCTGAACTCCATCAGCAAAGCGAAGGCTGCACGATTGGTGCGCTCCCTGCTTGATATGTTCTTGGATATGGAGGCAGCTACCGGTCAGGAGGTGGAGCTGTGTTTGGAGTGCATTGAATGGGCCAAATCAGAGAAGAGGACCTTTCTACGGCAGGCCCTGGAGGTCAGCTTTAGACAAACGCCACCCTTACTAGAGCTTAAATATAAGGCTGTGGTTGCATTCAGGATTTATTTTATTTTTTTGCTTATGTTGAGCTAATGTTTGAGTATTAAACTGGTCATTAGATATTGACTTTGGTATGTAGTTGACTATATGAACAAGTGTTTAGCAAATATGTGTTTACATATGGATGATGAATTTAAGATTTTTTTAAAGAAGTCTTGTTTTCTAAGGCATTTATTTGACTAAAATAAAAGATTTGCGGACAAATCATTAATTTAAAAAATGTTTTCCATTAATATTATTTTTTTTTTTTTGTCACAATGCTGAGTTTTTATATTTGTTTAGAAATAAAAATGCAGATTTGTTGTGCAACAATTTATATTTCTATTTTAAATGTTAACTGAATAGTTTATTTGACTGAACATTTTATAAAATTGTTTTTAGGGTCTCATTTGAGTGAATGAGTACATTAATAAACATAACAAAATTATAAAACAAAAATGAAAACTTTGATTTCAAAATATTGAAAGGTAGAAATGTTTAATTTTATTTATTTTATTATTTTTTTGAAGGCTGCCTAAAAGAAGTCTAAGATATCGTTGTTTGATTATTTTTACTCCTGTGCTTCAATGACGTCTTGTTCAATTCTACAATCCTAGGCCCGACTGGTCTCTCTTTATTTTGACACCAAACGTTACCAAGAGGCTCTACAGCTTGGTGAGTCCATTGCTTCATTTTGGCACATTTATGTTTGTAAGATTAGATAACGTATTGCCGGATTGTAACCACTATCCTTTTTGTCCTTGTTGATCAGGCTCTCAGCTTCTGCAAGAGCTGAAGAAGATGGATGATAAAGCTCTGCTGGTGGAGCTGCAGCTGCTGGAGAGCAAGACATATCATGCCCTGAGCAACTTGCCCAAGGCCAGAGCAGCTCTCACCTCCGCCAGGACCACCGCAAACGCCATCTACTGCCCCCCAAAGCTGCAGGCTGCTCTAGACATGCAGTCAGGTACATTTACATAATCCCTTCCAATAAATATGTCCACATTATAATCACAATTGCTTTGAGTAGTTACTGTTTTGAGTAAGTAGTCATTTCACAACCTATTAAAATAAGTACATTCTGTGTAGGATGAAAGTAATCAGGATGTAATACTTTAACTTTATCATCATGTGATGTGCCGGTACCTTTCACAAATCAGTGAATTCAGAGATGGCTTTGTAAAAACTGATATTGTTATTACCATAGGGAAGTATGTGATTTCAGATGCAGTGCTTCACTGTCACACACAGCTCTAATCAGCCATGACGGCTTGCTTGTCCATGTTCGCTTAAAGTAAAACTGCCTTTCAGCACATCATATGATCACAGCCAGTCAGATCACATTTGTTTATACTGTAAGATGACTGCTGTCAGTGAGATGTACACAAGTTTGAAACATTGTGAGTGCACATGCTCAGACTTCATTCTGCAGAGATAGCTGTATTCCTCTTAATGTTTGTAATTGTGATGTTTTAATAAAAGGCCATTTTTTTACTCTGTGCTTTACTTTGATTTACAGTTTACTAGTAACTGCAAATGCTACTAGTTTCACAATTCTAATTTAGGGGCCCTTGTCATTTTAAGTTATTTACTTGTGCATTGAATAAATAGGTTAAATGGTTAAATTGTTCTTTCATTTTTGTATTGTTGTTATGCCACTTGGCAACGTTCTCACAGAGATGCATTTAAAATTGTATTTTGAAGCTTTGACATTTGAAAATACAGCTAATATCAACCTCTACATAAAAAGTTGAGTTTTAAAAAGTCTATCGGGAACTTTCATCAAGAAAAAGCACAGTAAGAGCTGAGTGATATGACACAATGCATTAATGTGCATAAGACACTAATAATAGCAGTTTACATCTGTATGTTGTCTCATTGTAAACATATGAGGGGCAAATTCACAGAATGCATTTTAAACTAACAAAGGACACATTCAAACAGACCTTATGCATTTTTGTCCAGTCAGAGACACTGACACCACAAATAAATAGGTTAAGCCATTTTTTTAGAAAATAAAATGTACTGCATCACTGTATGAATGTCCAGAATTTAGGTTTCCCATGATTTAGAATGACCTAGGGGTTGACACAAAAAAAAAATTAAATCATCATTTCCTTGTTTTTTTTTCTAAACACGAAAGAAGAAATATTGAATTTTGGGCACTGGCTTCCATAGTATTTTTGTTATTAGTCATATGGAGCCCTTCACCATTTTTCAGAATATCTGGTTTGGAAGAAATTAATTTGTAATTTAGATCTACTTGACTGAGTCATTTGAGGTTGTTATTATTTTTTTTTTTTTGTCATTTTTTCTATTGAACTATGCCTTTAAAAAGTTGTCATCCAATTCAAAACTGATAATTAAAAAACAATCATGCAACATGTTAGCATTTATTCTCATGCCCTAATAATCTTTAATTAAATGATCTTAAAAGACGTCTCTCTAATGCATTTAATGGCAGCACAATTACATGAGATCACAGCAATACAAAACCATAGTGATCCAATCAGTTCCTGATGGACAGAACCAAGTTACACCCTATACCTTTTATGGTTCTAGAGACATACAATGTCATCACAAATTACAGCAGAAAAGACTTTCAACATTTATATTCTTTGTACCTTTCAAGTAAAAGAAAAATGGAGAAAAAACAGATCATACATTAATGATTTTGTCTCCTGACTGAAGTTTCATCACTGTTTTTATTTTCTTTTGTAGGAATTATTCATGCTGCTGAGGAGAAGGACTGGAAGACAGCGTATTCATACTTTTACGAGGCGTTTGAAGGCTACGACTCTATTGACAGTCCTCGTGCCATCACTGCACTTAAGTACATGCTTCTCTGCAAGATCATGTTGAACTCGTGAGTGCTTGATTTTTATTTATTTATTTATTTTTTGTTTGGATGTATTTTACTTGTGTCATCATTTAATATTTATATATCGATGAGATCAAAACTCTATATTATTGTCTTTGCAGGCCAGAGGATGTGCAGTCCCTGATCAGCGGAAAACTTGCCCTCAGATATGCAGGCAGACAGGTAAATGTTTGAGCCCACTGGATGGTTATTCAGTTCATGTTGTAGTTTTTGCAAGATCATTCCAAGAATTCAGTCATTGGCTGAGATTTGACAGTTCTATAGTATTTTATTCGCTACATTAAATAACAGTAAAATTATTAGTATATGTTATTGTTAATAATTATAATTAAAGCTAGTAGTATTAACCAAAATTTTTTTTACAAAAAGCAGAAGTGTGCACAAATTTATTTCATATTAGATTATTCTTTTTTTTTTAATGTACTAAATATTGTTTTACATTTATATAATATTTATCATATTGTTCTTTGGGTTAAGTTGACTGAAATTGATCTTTGCCATCATATGAATAAATTAATTTTAAAAAAGTATTAAAAATCTTTAAACAGTTTAAATTCTAATATTGACACAAAATAATTGTCTTTGCAGAATTTTAAAAATCTAGACTTTGTGAGAATTATATTTCCATGCATAACAGAATACCTGTAATATTGTGGAATTATTGCATGTAAATATTCACACATTTGCACATCTTAGTTTTTCTTTACAATTTTGACCTCAAGAACTATTGCTCTATGTAAGTTATACAATGCAAACACTGAGAAAAACAGAGACGGTGTTTATTTTGTAAGATGCAAAGCCTGCTGCATCACATTTAATACACAAATGAGTCTAAATGATCAAAATAAATAAAATCTTTTGAACTATAGCATTATAAAAATCAAATTTCAGCGATGAATGCAATGAACATAGTTTAAATGGGCAATAATGCCACCTGACACACCTAAAGTGGGTCATCTTGCTAAGGCAGCACCATTTCCACAACAACTCTGTGTCAAACACTACATGAGCACTTCTATACACCAGTATGATATTTATTATGCAATAATTTTAATAAATTTTGCATCATTTGCTTGATTTGCATTCAGTTCAGTGATTGCAGAATCAAAATTTTTGAGGGACTGCTAAACACTACAGCTGCCTGTTTTTCTATTTATCATAGTTCTTGTCAATTCAGCTTTTTATACTTGTAAGCCTCTATTGCAGTCGTAAAGAATAAAATAGTGCAATGAATTGCTGTCTGAGGTGGAACATGTTTGTTACATCTCAAACTCAATCACATATTTTAAAGCATTGAGGTACTTTTACTATTTCCATTAAAAAATGCTCTAAAATGCACGTTCTTTTGTGCTGATTGACAGCTACAGGGTATTTTTTTTCTGTTGTGTCTGTGAATGGAGGATTACATGGATTAATTCATCCTGTCTCTCTCTGTCTCCTTCTGTAGACAGAAGCACTTAAATGTGTGGCACAAGCCAGCAAGAATAGGTCACTTGCAGATTTTGAGAAGGTAGGTCAGGTGCCTTGGATATAAATTCCACCACCAATTTCAGTCCGCCTGCTGTCATCACGTATTATGTCCTTCTCTTTGATCCTCATTCAGGCTTTAACAGAATACAAAGCTGAGCTGCGGGACGACCCCATCATCAGCACTCATCTCACCAAACTCTATGACAATCTGCTGGAACAAAACCTCATTAGGGTCATCGAGCCCTTCTCCAGAGTGCAGGTAATGCCTTTGTGCGCCTCTGTGAAAGCCCTGATTCCCTGAATAAAAGTTGTTGATTCAAATTTTTCTCCTATGCCTACAGATTGAACACATTTCAGAGCTAATAAAGCTTTCCAAGGTAAGGATTTATCCCCTAGTAAGACTTTTTCCCTTTCAACAGTTTTAAAATATTTATCTGTTGATCAAGAAAAGTTCAAATGTATTCTAAGTATGCTCCGATCAGGGTTTTGCAACCGATACCAAATACTGATTTCTTGTCATTGTAATCTGCCGATATCAAGTACCAATTCTGATGCTTCAAGCTTTATAATGCATTAAGCACATTTTGAGTAAAGTGGCCTTTTCTCCTTACCTAAAAAAATAAATGAAGGATGTTGCACATAATCCCGTAAACACATCTCTTATAACCATTTATTGTGGACATGTCATGGCCAAAAGCATATTTACTGAAAATAATATATAACACATATAAAATTTGGTAAGAAAAATTACAATCAATATCATTCGGAAACATTGCAAATGAAAACATTGCAAATGTCTCAATCAAGAAAAAGTTTGGAGTGCATATTTGATGCATAAGAAGTTGAAATGCACACATATAAATCTAATACTTTACTAAAAGGAAATGGGCCTATAAACTACTGTTTATTGCAGCAAGTGTATTATAATTTTTGTTTTGTTTTTAATAATATAACTTTTTATAACTAAAAAATAAATTTAACTAATAATTCCAGCCAGCTTTTAGTGAACTTGCAAGATTGTCAAAAACACAGAACCTTCAGTTGTTTTACGTAAAAAGGCCTAAATACATAAAAGAACATTCAAATATTTTGCTTGTCTCCAACTATTGACAACTATTCATTTAACCTAAGAAATATAATGCTTAGAACAGGGGTGTCCAAACTCAGTCCTGGAGGGCCGGTGTCCTGCAAAGTTTAGCTTCAACTTCTTTCAACACACCTCCCTGAAACTTTCTAGTATAGAAAGATCTTGATTATCTGGTTCAGGTGTGTTTAATTAGGGTTTGAACTAGGGTTGGGTAATGTCGACCAATTTTTCATTGTACGATGTCTAATGTGAAACATTGCGATGGAAGATGGCATTGTCATCATAGGCGGTAGCGATTTAATTATTTATGAATAATTCATAACAAATTAGTTATTTTTTAGCCTACAGTTTCAACTACTTGACCCGCATGGTCTTTGTTTTACCCATAAACAAACCATAAATAAATAAAGATAAATTGCACACAAATTACCACCTGTCAATCACTTTTTCCGCGGAAGTTGGTAGGTAAAAAAGGTGCACAACCAACAGTATCTGAGGTTTTCACTAAAATTACTAAGTACAAGTGTGAAAGTGACAGACTGAAGCAGTGTACTGATGTTGTGACACATTACCTCATAGATTCAAAAGATCGAAGAGTTGTTAGATAGAGACGAGATTAAATAAATATCAAATTTAACAAGTATAGTGCGAGGCGATCCAGCGATACATCCTTGATAAACTGTCCGATGTGCACTGCTCTCTGGAGCTCAGCTTAGATGAGCGCAAGTGTGTGTGGCTGAGGACGATGGCATCGTCTATTGGCCCAACCCTAGTTGGAACTAAAATACGCAGGACACTGGCCCTCCAAGACCGAGTTTGAACACCCCTGGTTTAGAACATCACTATGCCTCTTGCTCATTCACTCTCGTCACCATGATTTCCGGCTGTTTTAATTAATTTTTGGGGATCACAGAGCCACTATGAATATGCTGGAGAATCCCAGAGCTTCCGGGAGAGGTCATAAGTTTAGATGAGACACTAGATAGGGATTGCTCTGCTCGTGTCACAGCAGCTCTAAACACTGGAAATACAGTGGTTGCACTTGCAACAAAGACCATCATTCACGGGAGTCGCGCCAATAGACTGTATAAACTGGTCCCACTGCATCTGTACATATTTTAGCTATAGTGATGCAAGCGCATCGATCGCTCATGCCACCACACATCATGTACCTCCTCAAGTGTTGTGTCGAGCCATTTAATGATTATCAGCCGATACTAATCTTCAGCCGAACAATAGGAGCATCCCTAATGTATTCTTTTGTTAATGTTGTTAATTATTGGAATGAATATCTAGCAACCCAAGTACTGTTAAAAGAAACTATGTGGAGATGATTTCTATAAACCTGCAACAGGCTAAAAATAGAAATCCAAGGCGATCAAAAGCACCAACGTTTTAAAAAAAGGATGTAAAGAAGAATAAATTATTACATATGCACATATTATACACAGAAATGTTCACACATGAGTAGTTGATGTTATGAATTCGACTTCTTATCAATTAGAAATGATCAGACCGGAGGTTTTGAATATCAGAAAATAGACTTTATTCTCCATAATAAAGCAGAGAAAGAGCAGAGCAGACCCCATAGCATTCTCCTCCTGCTCCTTCTAAAGTCTCTGTGTTTTTTACAATATTTATACAGGTTATTTTGACACACCCCTAGGTGTCTCATTTTAACTTTTAACCGTTTTAGGATAGGTTTTTGCTCTAGGTGGCCCTTTTATTCTTGGCTCTCAGCCCACTAGCTCATGTCAATAGAGATGTTACAGGTCTGTGTCAGCAACTGTTTTGACACCAAAGTTCTCTCTCCATAGATGCAACTTATGCAAAAGGACTAAGTTTTTACATACATTGTCATGATAGCATAATCACTTGATAATATGTTACTCATTCTAACTTCTGACACATATAGCTTCATACAAGTATTTAACATGTATAATCAGTGCTTTACATATTCAGTTATTCTACACAATCAGTCATTCAGTCATAGCCTTCTCCTAGTGTTGCTCCTGTGCAGGCACCTCTTACACAGACACACCACTGTATTTTTAACACATGCTGGCATGTTTGCTGCGAACACTACATACATTTTGAGAAGAGAAAATGAACTGCTTTACACTTAGAAAATACTTCACACAGAGAGAATAAAATCTTCATTGACAGCCAACTGTGGTGGAATGCAAGACTGTATAGAAAGCAGGCACATACTGTAGTGTTTCTGTACAAAGTGATGTCTGCATCTACTTGCCTGCCATGTGTAATTCAGTTCCAATCATTTTGATAGATTTGAGTAAATGAGGATTTTGTTTTTTTTTAAGGTAAAACATTTCTGTTTTAGCTGGGTAAATATACCCTTATTTCAAATTAAATGATCTACCATCTACCTGCTGAGGATTAAAAATACTTGAATTTTTACTGTAACATATCTGTCAGAAATTGGTGTGCTTATTTCTTTTTTATTTATTTATTTATTTTTTTTAAAGTTTCATCCATTTTTTCCTTTCTCTTCTCAGGGGGATGTTGAAAGAAAACTCTCACAGATGATTTTAGACCAGAAATTCCACGGTATGAACCTTGTCTTTTAGTTAATTAGTGTGCTGTCAAACATGGGTATCAGTATACAGATTTGTATTTTCCAGTTTTATTTTCCGGTGGAGGTTATTTATAAACTAATTTCAAGAGGATCACATGCTTATGATTGATCACGGCTGATCCCACGTTTAGCTAATGCACAATCCACCAATTGGATGATTCCTAACTCACTATAAAGTTTCTTACCCTGGTTATCTTTGTCTTGAAGAATCCTTCCTTCCACCCCTACTCCTAAATTTTCTTACGTGAGGTGGCACGGCAGCCCAGTGGTTAGCACTGTTGCCTCACAGCAAGAATGTCACTGGTTCAGTCTTTACCTGGCCAGTCGACGTTTCTGTGTGGAGCTTACCTGTTCTCCCTGTGCTCCTGTAGGTTTCCCCTAGGTTCTCCGGTTGTCTCCCGCAGTCCAAAGACATGCGCCATAGGTGAATTGAATAAACTAAATTGGCACCATAGATGAGCTCTTAATCAGCAGTGTATATCTCCTTAGCAATCCCTGATAATCTATTAGACATAAATAAGCGGGGGAGTTTTGAGACCTACCTAAGCTAAAACCCCCCTCTCGACCTGCAAACGGGAGGGAGCCCTAGGCTTGAGAATCTTTATCTCCCGGGATAGCATGATAAGCACGCTTTATAATCAATCATTAGCTAAGCGTGAACTCTTAAACTTATAGTGTAGATTTTGCTAGCTAGTTAAAGATTAGATACTATTACAGCTGATTATAGATGGTCCATCCATAGTTGAATCATTTAATTTGGAGAAGATTTTATTTCAAGTCATTTGGGACTTTAACAGCAACTTCCAGTTTACACTGACTTAAGTTGTCATGATGATTTTTTTTATGATTGCTTACCTAAAACACTTCTTCTCTCTGCTCTTAGGAATCCTTGACCAAGGGGAAGGTGTCCTGATTGTATTCGACGAGCCACCGGTAGACAAAACATATGAAGCCTCCCTCGAAACAATTCAGAACATGAGCAAAGTAGTGGACTCGCTCTACAACAAAGCCAAGAAGTTGACATAGGCAAGCCCTGATTTTGTGCTGCACTCACTGACTAACATTTTTATCTCACAACCACATAGCATGAAATTTAAAAAAATGTCTTGTTTTGTACAGGTTGAGCATTAGACCCTGCAGCTCAGAGCATGGCCAGTGTGGGGGGACTCTGGGGGAAGGGGAAGGGAAAATTAAAAAAAAAAAGGTCTAAAACCCCAAACAGACTGACTCCTGCTGTTGTCCTCTCTGGCTTACACTTGGACATTTTTTTACCACCTTCTTCAATGGACAAACTACTTCTATTACTATGGGATCACATTTCTTTTTTTATTATTTTCACTTTTTTTTTTTTTGCTGATAATTCATTTCTTTGTATCTTGGCTGTGCCTAATGGGCCATCAGGGAATCTTCAAAAGAATAAAATAAAAACTCACCTGCATTATAACTCTATTTGAAATGTATATACGTAGATCTCTGGTAGAGCAAAGCTGATATAAGAATGATTCACCTCCCTTGCAAATCCGGGGGCTGTTGTGTTGAGTTTGCCCATACAAGATTCCCCATATTACCAATTCAACGGTTTTAGGCCTCTCAAAAGGAAGCCCCTGGCCTCGCTCCAGGCCTACCTCTCGAACAGACAGCGTTCTTGGACTTTTTATTGTCGAGCGGAAAGGTTTGAATAAGCTGCTGTCATCAGGATGGGCTTGTGAGCTGTTGTCATTCCTGCCCTTCCTCCTCCTCCCTCTTTGTACATAACGTTGCCAAGCGCCTCTGTCTGGCCTGTCATGCTGTTGCCCTTTTTTATAACGCTAAAAAAAACATAATAAAGTCACCAAGAAAACATGTTTCTGAGTGATTTTGTATAATGTTTGTAATTAATTTTTCTTTCACAACTTAATATGCACAAAACTGTAAATAACATCTGTCAGTTTACCTGAAAAATGTGAATTCAGTAATCTTTCTTCACAACCAGCTCAACAATGAACTAGTAGGCTCTATGCACAGCTAGAGTTTTAAAGCCAATGATAAACCTCCGGTGAAAGCTTAATGTTACTATCTTTCAATTTCACAAGGTTGTTTTAGCAGCATCGATTTTTGTAATGCAATTACAATACATTTCAGCACAACAGACTTAAGCATTCTTTTAGTTATTTAAGCATAAAACTAGATGAAAGACCGTTGTAACCACTAGACCCGTCAGTAGCACGAGGCTAGCGCTAAAAAATCCATTGAAAATATTGGCATAAAATAAGTGGTCATATTTTAAAGACATGCAGGGGGAAATGAAATTTAATGCAGTGCTTCTTGTCTGATCTGAGATCTACTTCATATCGTAAATCGTAAAAGAAGCCATTGGGCTGCCTGGAAGCCATTGGACTGCCTGGCTGAAAATTAAAAGTCTGTGTGCATATAGCCTATTACGGGGGTTAGGAATGGATTTTCTGTAGTCAAAAAACAATTTGTTCATTATTTCAATTGGATAATGTTCTAGTTTAGTTTAATATTAAGGTAAGAATAATTTTGAAGTCAATACTAGTTTTATTAGTGAAACATTGGCATAAAAAACTAAATACTAACCAGAAATTGTAATATGTAATGATCTAATACTGTGGTTGTCAAACTTTTTCCATCAAGTACCACCTCAGAAAAAAATAGTCTCTCCAAGTACCACCAAAAATGAGCAGTATTGAAATACAGTAGCGTAGTATAGGCCCAGTAAAAGCAGATACAACTCTGGCAGATTACTTCAGAAATATAGGCTATATGGCATATTATATACATCATTTTTGATAAATTATAAAATGTGTGTAGCATGTACATGACATTTTATTCCTCTGCGTACCACTAGAAGGAAGCCTGCGTACCACTAGTGGTACATGTACCACAGCTTGAGAACCACTGATCTATTAATATTGACTTTAAAATGTAAGTGGCATACGTATATATGTATGATATGATAAATGCAAGATATAAGAAAATAAGCAATAAGGCTAAACTAATGAAAATGAGTAGAAAAAAATATTTGGGTGGGGGTCTGCACGTTTTTCTATAATTTTTAAAAAATTTAACGTGTAATTGATTTAATTTGATTGACTTATTGCTAATTATTTTTTAAAAATGTGAATCCTATTTAATCATATTCTTAATTTTTTGTGATCTTTTTTTGTTTATTCTTAAGTATTGTGTGCTTGTTAATAAATATAAATTCTTCAAATTATTGTTGTAGTTTATTGTTTAAGTGTCATTAATATCACATGAATATAAATGGGTCTAAAATATTTGGAAATACATATTCATATATGATTATAATATTAAATATATTTTATTACTTTAAAAATATATCATCATTTCATAAAATTTACCTAATAAATTATTTTTCTTCAAATATTTCCGACTGGTTTTCGCATATTTTTAAATTTTTATTTATTTATTTATTGCATAACCATCAGGAACAAACACAAAACACAATATAAATTATGGAACCTTGAAAAAATTTAAATAACAATGGTAAAAAACATTGATAAATAAAAATAAAAAATGTAATTAATTACACAAAGTATAGTGTACAGCATTTCTACATCCAATGATTTTAAGAATTGAAAGGGGAATCAAAAAAGTGTTTTAATAATTGATGCATCTCTAAGATTTCTTTCTTTCAACAATTCCACAGTAGAAATAAAGAAGTCAAACTCGATACACAACTGTTATTGTGGGAGATGATTTAGCAAATTTCTGCTTGTGTATGTGAAACTTTGCCAACAAAATAAAGAGATTAACAATATATTCAAGAACTTTGTTGGATTTGTTTGCATAATAAAAAAAATAACATCTTTTAATTACTAAGTTTTGTCATTTTAAAAATAGATTTGGCTAGATCCTTCCAGGAATGGTTTACAACATTGCATTTAAAAAAAATAAATGACAAAGGGTCTCTATTTATCCACATTGCAGAAACCACAGATATCCTCCATTTCAATATTCTTTGATAGCCTGGTTTCCACATACATCACGCCATTTGCCACGCAATTACGTCTTCGACTATGTGATGACAAAATAAAAAGTTTTTAGTCCATTGAGGGATCAACAAGTTTGTTTGATTGTATGTATGTTAAATATTTCTGGTTTGATATTGAAGGCCTATTTAATACACTGAGTGGTCATAGAATTAATATAAAGAAAAGAGATGTCATATTTTACGTAAATAGAAAATATATAGAAAAGAATCTCCTGTTTATGTTAAATCTTTTAATATTATCAGACAAGCATTTATTTTGAAATTCTTTAGGGACTTTTAAGTCATAAAGTAACCATACTCCAAAAACTCCTCTTCTCTCCTCTATGGTAATTGTTATGTATACCTGCTCTTGTCCTTTATTAGTTTTTTTTTCTCTTTCTTTCTTTGTGTTATTTTGCTTACATATGTTATGCTAAAATGTGAATATTGTAAGATTTGTTATGCATTTGATTGGAAATGTTCAGCAAATTAAATAAAAAGGGATCAACAAACTTAAAAGCAATATGAACTAAAGCTTTGGTGAAGGACTTGGCATTGTCTTGGACTAAATGACTGAAAACCCATGGACTGCTGTTGTTTGAATTTTACATTTGTTGTTAATGTTTTAAGCATTTTATTAAAAAAGAAAGATTTTTTTTTTTTAAAGAACACCTGGATCAAAAGTTTAAAAGAATCGATTCACTGAAATGAGTCAGAATTGTCACGCATGCGCAGTTGTGTGTCGCTGTCCACTGCTGTAGTGCTGCTCTAGTTCTGCTGTGAGGAGCTCAACCGAGCAGCTTCACCTAACGCAAACATGGCGACCCGGGTAAGACATCCTTCCATTTCACTTCTTAAACCAAAAAGCTTATATATTCGGATTTAACAATGCGTTAAAACGTAACGCCCTGTTTCACCAAAATCGCTCTCGAGAAAAGCGTCGGTGTCGCATTTAATTTGTGTACGAAACGTATCCAGTTTGATGCCAGTCACTTGGATATTTCCTCTGTATAAACAGCCACTATACATATCAGATGGACGAAGCAGTCACTTGTGAACAGATATACACTGATAGTGTTGGTTTTTGGTTTATATCATTGGTATTGTTATTAGCATGCTAATATGCGGCTACTGCACAAGGGTAACGTAAACGGGAAGTCGACCAATAATACTAATCACACAGCATATATACTCGAATATCGGTGGTGTCACGAAACCATTCATTTTTAGCAACTGTATGTTAAATGTCTAGAATTGATTGCTAAACAGGAATACACAGAAGTCCATTGGTAAACAGGCTAAATCTTAAAATAGATACGTAGAGGTTGTGTAATGCTGAAGCCTATCGATAAGCGAACGTTACAAGATGAACCAGCCGGCGGTTGATTGCTCACTTATTCAATATGGATGATAATGATGTAAGTTTACTATCATGTACCGTATTTCCTGCAGAAGAACCGTGTTATGACAGTACTGTGCTGTTTGAGCGGATTTAACCTTGACATGGCTCGCGTAATGCTCTCATAAGCTCATCTCTCCACCGTGTGCTTCTGCTTGAAGAGCTCGTGATGTATAACCTTGACGAGCCTTGCGATTTTCCCATTCAACATGAGCCATTCGCTGGGCAATGACCACGGAAACACACCGTTCCCTCATTGCAAATATGTTTTGTGCGCATATCTCCAGCTCTCCCTCTCTCCTCCCTGTGCTGCAGGGTGCTCCTCTCTGTAGGACTCAACGGATTCTTTGCTTGTCATTGTGAAAAATACCATCGTTGTTGCTATCTTAACATAATATGTGTGATAGGCTCCTCCTGATAAGCTTTTATGTCTCTTTGGCTTGATTGATTTTCATAATAATAAAAATCATTCAACTGCTTTTTTGACATTGTTACATTATCATGGCTTAAACATTCTAAATATTAATTAACTAATTTATTAATTTATTTATGTATTTATTTATTTATAAAAACATTAATGATCATTAAAGATTATCATAAAAATACATTACATGCATTTTAAAATGAAATATACATTAGAAATACGAAATAAAATGTTAATGATGACGATTATTATTGTTAATATTCTTCTTATTTTATTTCTTTTTAATGAATTAAAATATTATTTTAATTGTTCAAATAAAAAATATTTATTTACATATAATAAGGACTAGCATATATAAGTCTATAAGTACATATAAAAATTATGTGTTATTCATAAATATTCATAAAAATTCTTATCCACTTACATCACATAATTACATTACAAGTAATCATGAATCACATTAAAATATATTATTAATTATTCTTCATAATATAATATAATATAATATAATATAATATAATATAATATAATATAATATAATATAATATAATATAATATAATATATGCACTATATTTAAATAAGAACATTTAATATACACTCACCTTCCACTTTATTAGGTACACCTTACTAGTACTGGAATGGACCCGCTTATGCCTTCAGAACTGCCTTAATCCTTCGTGACATAGATTCAAATATTTCTCAGAGATTTTGGTCCGCATTGGCATGATAGCTTCACACAGTAGCTGCAGATTTGTCGGAGTTGCAAATCTCTCATTCCACCACATCCCAAAGGTGCTCTACTGGTTTGAGATTTGGTGACTGTGGAGGCCATTTGAGTACAGTGAACTCACTGTCATGTTCAAGAAATCCGTCTGAGATTTTTTGCGCTTTATGACATGTTATCTTCCTGTAAGTAGCCATCAGAATATGAGTACACTGTGGTTATAAAGGAATGGACATGGTCAGCAACAATACTCAGGTAGGCTGTGGCATTCACATGATGCTCAATTGGTACTAATGGGCCCAAAGTGTGCCAAGAAAATATCCCCCAGACTATGACACCACTACCACCAACCTGTACCATTGATACAAGACAGGATGGATCCATGCTTTCATGTTGTTGACGCCAAATTCTGACTCTAGCTGCGTCCCAAATGGCACACTATACACTATGCACTCATGCACTATGTACTTATGCACTTACACACTCAACAGGATAGTATATGTATGTAGTGTCGTCCCAAATGGCACACTAATGTTTTTTTACTAAGCGGAAATTCAAACCGTTTCCCTGATGACGTTTGACGGTTGCCAAATCAGTGAAATAAACAACAGAATTATCAAATAATACCTGCCGTGAGTATTGCCGCATTCACCATCGGGAGGCGCTAAAATCACTCTCGTAGGAGAATTTTGCTCTCACCATCCAAAATAAATAAAGTTATCCAACATGTGCGTCTGAAAGCTCCGCCCCTTCCGCTACGTAAGCAAACCTGCGGTCATTGAGTGCGTGAAGTGTCCATCATTACACACTTCATTTTAGCGGCTGAATGAGTGCATCATCCGGGTAATTAAAGTGCACTCATTATTTTTAGAGTTTTCAGTGTGAACACACTACTTACACTATTTATACTACAAAATGGCGTAGAATAGTGCATAAGTATGCGATTTGGGACGCAGCTTGTATCTTCTGAATGTTGCAGCAGAAATTGAGACTCATCAGACCAGGGAACATTTTTTCAATCTTCTATTGTCCAATTTTGGTGAGCCTGTGCGAATTGTGGCCTCAGTTTCCTGTTCTTAGCTGACAGGAGTGGCACCCGGTGTGGTCTTTTGCTGTTGTAGTCCATCCACCTCAAGGTTGGACGTGTTGTGTGTTCAGAGATGCTCTTCTGCACATAAATCACCTTTTTCCCCAATCTGATGCTCGGTTTGAACTGCAGCAGATTGTCTTAAACATGTCTACATGCCTAAATGCATTGAGTTGCTGCCATGTGGTTGGCTGATTAATAATTTGCTTTAACGAGCAGTTGGACAGTACCTAATAAAGTGGCCGGTGAGTGTATACACTTTAAAAGGGGTTAAATATTGGGTAAAACTTTGAGAACACCCCTAAAAATATTATTTTATTTAGAAAATTAACCCAGCAGTATGTTTTGGCCATGATTTACCCAAATTTGGGTTACCAGCATGACCCAGCATTTTTTTAAATTGTATATATCAGTCATGTACTTAAAGACATTCACACACACATAAGGTGAGAGAGGGCATGCCAGTGATATGCATGTGTTCAGAAGCTGTTCAGAACATTGTGAATGTTTTACACACATACACTCCACTAACAGCCGTAAGAAAAGATGAGCAAAAGCAAATCACACTGTGTGGATTGCTTTATTAAGCCCATCAGGTTCCCTGCTGTGATTCTACTCAAGGAAGAATAAATAGAGATGATAAAATGAAGAGCAAACATCTCCAAATAACATCTGTTATTCATATTGTTTTAGCTGCTAAGATATTCTTTTGATTATGATGAAATGTTTTTTGTAAGCTGAACTGATCAAACCAGACAAACTCTGTGTGGGCTTCATCACCCACAGACTTCACCTCAGTGTTAAAAACATAATACCTCTTAAAGAGTGTGTGAATGGTAAATCGTCTGCTTGTGTCTGTCATAATGGCTTCTATAAATGCGAGACGCTATGGTTTCTACTTCATATCTTCTGCGATTTTTTTTTTCTGAGTGTCTCCCATGAGTACTGCTCCTGGTTTTCTCTTAAAAGAATTTCTCCTTTAATGAAATGCTTCCCGCTTCTATGCAGCTAACATATATGTCTACTTTATTTAATTAAAATGCCTTCATGAAAAATCCTTTATATATTAGTTTACAGAAATGTGGCATGGAATAACTGCCAAGCTCTAAAGTGTATTAAAAACAAATGAATAATTTATATTGTTGATGCATCCACCCCATCAGTCGTGGCTCTAATTAAAGACCCTGCAGGAAAGCAGTATTTTATTGTGGTGAATGTCATAAAGCTGAATGTAACATTGCAGCAAATATGAGGGATTGCGACATTCCAATTTAATGGGACAGTTCAATGGATTTAAGCTCACAATTTCACCTCTCTCAAGTTGTTTGAAAGCCTGCATTGTCAGAATATCTGTTAATTGACAGTTGAGCTGTTAAGAGCTGATAATTCATGGCTGTTGTGATTTTTATTGAGATATTAAAACAGTGATTCATATATTTCTTAGCAAAAACCAGATCATTTTCCAATAGTTTTGTTTATTTATTTACAATTTTAATCACTTAATTGCTTAAAATCTCCATTGGACTCTTCAGTGTACATCATAAAAGCATGATATCTGAAAATTGCTAAAAACTCAGTTATACACTACCTTATAAAAGCCTTGATCTGTCGATCATCGATTCCAGTTGTAACACAAAATTAAGATAATTTGAACAGTGTTAAAGAAACCAAATAGCTGATCATGAGGATAATCCTTTACTTCCATAGTAATGACGTTAAACCACTATTTTGCCATTGATTTATTTCTTAAATCTGCATTTTATCCATTAAAACTAGTCTATTTGGTTCGTATATCAATTGCCCTACTTATATCAATTTGCAATGCTTCAATCTTCAAAATCCAATTATTTCGCATCAAGCAGATAAATGCATGCAACATGAGCCACAAAGATTATCAGAAGTGATCTGAAGCAAAGACTGTTTTTCTTAAAGTCCCTTAAAGTCCTCTCTCTGAAAAGTAAATGATTTTACCAAGATCTTTTTATATGGGATGTAAAATCAAATAACAATAAAAAAAGGATTTTCATGAAATTTGTTTTAGGAATTGCCAATTTATGGTCCAATTTAATGACCATTTTTAATTGTCCTTAATTAGTTTTTTGTACTTTTTTTAAGTCTTCTGTATGAAACTCAAAGATCTGCATTTTTTCCATAACAGAGATATTTTCTCTGTGGTATTAATCTTCATGTTTTA